GGGGAACAAGCTTCATCACATTCACTGAATATTACAGATTACATTTAGGGTTTTTCAAACGCCTGATGTTTATGGCAATACTGATAACTAGAAGCTAATATAATCCCAGCATACTGTATCAAATACATAAATATTACATTGTGATAATATTATAAGTATTTGAGGCTTATTCATTGACTTGGCTGTTGGTAGATTCTGGAACTGACACAAGTGGAAACCAATGCTGATAATGTCCAAATGACTAAATATCAGCAGATATATAAGCCTAGAATTGATCTATCAGTAATGAAGAGTATTTACGGTTCAGGCGACCCAGGGTGCTTAGGAGCTATAACTGTCCAATTACCAAAGGCTTCCATTCAGGAATCTCATCTCCGACTTCATCATGAATTAATAGACCTTTGTTTTACTGCATGGCTATCACCGTTTAAGAATGAAATGAAGACGCTATAGCAATATTCTGTAGCCTGAAGCTATCTATGACATTAATAATCAAGCAGGCAGTAGTTTTTCATACAGATAGCTTGCAAGGATTGTGAGTAACTAATCCCATCCGTCACTGCTGAATGAAATTCCATCAATTTTTTTTTTTTTTGCAGTGCTGGGCATAAAAAGTAATTGCCAAATGAAGTCAGCAAAATCCCAGTTTGCAAAATGCAAAATATATGAAGACATAGCATAAATACAAATAAACAAGTAATAGTGTTTTAAAGACTATCTGAAATCGATAACCCTCCTTCATTAGAACAATATGCTCATATGCTAATATTATCCTAATGAAAGCAGTTTAGATATCACACAAACATATGAAGTTACTAGGCTAGCTGGCAGAAATCGGGCAGACAGAGAATTAAACTCAGCGATGACTGGAAGGACATTAGAGGATGGCGTTTCTTTGAGCAGAGGTGAGACGTCGCCTGCATTCGCATTATCAGTTCAGCTCCATTGGCCAGCACCTGTTTTATCTGAGACTTTCATGTGCTTCTACGCTGTGCTGCATGCTCTGTTATCTGGATTATGAGCCCCTTTCATAGAGCTTGGTGCCACAGGGTGAGATCTGTTTGGGTATCCTAGGGGAATTGCAAAACTAGTCACGCTTCCTGTGCTCATCAACGCTGAGCGTCAGACTCCAGTAACTGCTTGCAGAGATATGCGTGAGATTTCATGCAGCATATATGAACATATATTGCAAGCAGCAACCAGTATCTGTGAACTAGAAAAGTGCAGATCTGGAGCTGTACCAAAAATCATTGGTTGTTTAAAAGCCTCTCAATGACATCGGAAAGGAAAGCAAGCTGATTTCTGGTGTTTTACAGGTAAAGATGGAGTGTTCTTTAGATCGAAACTGAGCCTTTTACTGTCCTCATTACTTTAAGTGCAGCCGCACGGAAAATAATTAAAGCATCATTAGTTTCGCTTGCAAAGAGAGAGAGAGAGAGAGAGAGAGAGAGAGAGATGAACTATGCAGAAGAGTTAAGAGTCACGCTACCATCTTATAGGAGAAGGTGTACATTTTAAATCAAATATTTATCATCTAAACCTGCCTCTGGTTTAAATGATTAAAATTAAAGACTATGCCAGACTAAAAACTGCTTTAATCACATCAGCAACTTTCCATTTAAGTGCTCAAGCACATTTTAGCATCACAAAATCTTGAAATACTTAGCTGTTACTCAACACAATAAGTAAACTTGACCTGCTTCTGTTCGCAGGTTAGCAGACAGTGTTTCCCTTACCCGTAATGTCATCTTGTTGGCAGGGCCGTCTATTGATCAGCTTCCAGCTGGATGTGTTTTGGTAGTGAGGGGTCATTTAAAGAGAGGGCGACACCACGTGAGGGTGAGCTTAGCAGGATCAAGCCTGCAAAATGGGCTTTTGTGTGTGGCGGGTTCATGCATAGAAAAAAGCGTAGAAATACAATGCAATTCAATAGCTTTGCCTTAGGCCACATGGGAGGCTTGTGACAGACAACCAGAAATAACATTAGGTCAGAATCACGGCAAAGCATTTCAGGTACTTCACCAGTTGCATAAGTATGATTGCAGATGTAATGGAAATCGTATATGGAAATAATGATGTGGTTAATGATCCATCGCTCATTATGGAACACAAAACATCACTATTGAAATGAATCACGGGATTTGTTTTTCAGCCAATGGAGTGTATACATTATCTGGGGGAAGATAATGTGATTTTGATGACTGTATTTCAGCCGCCCGGGATTCCTGTAGGAGCTGGCAGAGAGGAATTGTTGACATCAGCAATGAGCGAGAGGTGCCATGTGACATTTTTTGATGTGTTTTTCTGTAGCGGTGAATGATTGGCTGCTGATCCTGGGGATTAAACAACTATCCATGTGGGTGTCTGTTTGGACTTTATAGCCTATCAAATCTGCCAGCCCTCAGGAATTTCCTGTCTGCTTTTAGTCACAATGGCTTTCTAAAGCTCATCAGGGCCGAATGTACGTCCCTGCTTACAGCTGCAAAATACTCTGAATTTCTATACCGCCTAGGCCTTAACAATACTTGAAGTTCATGAATAAAATATCATGATCTTATGTGCACAATATCACTCAAACTTTGCACTACGTTAAAGCAAGTAACAAAATCAGACAGCTCTTAAGCAGACTCTTATTACTATGGCCTTTGGAGACTGAATGTCCAAAATGACCCACTCTACTCTCTGCCAGTGATCGTATATGGTTTGTATAGTTCAGTGTGTGTGTGTTTACAGTTGACCAGGCGGTTATGGCCGGGGGCCCCACCCTAAACACCCTCCTCCATCCCTGAGATAGTAAGGATGGACACAGCAGCATTCTGATCACAGTGTGCTGTTATCTGCATGCATGCCAGGGGCTCCGTCCTGCTAGATTACATCTCATATGAGGCTGTGAGGTGCCTCTCGGGTACCACAAGCCCAGACACACAGTGACAACAAATTGCTTGAAACTGGGTGGGGGTCTAAACAGAATGCTAATATGAACTATCAACCACAACACACAAACAAATCATTGTGACACATCGTGTCGCTTCTAATGTCGGTGCTGTAGTGATATCAAACACTCTCTGGTGAAGTCTGCTTGAGGCTTGTAGGAATCTAGAAATTAAGTGTGTGAATCTTGTGAGAAAAGCTATTCACATTTACACAGAACGATAGAATGGAAGATAGATAGACAGACAGACAGACAGACAGACAGATAGAATAGTGTAGTTCTAAAACACAGTTGAAGGTGTTACATAAAGTGCATATCTGAATCCACACATGCATGAATGCACTGGGTCAAAGAGTGTGAAATGAATTGTCCAGTGGGGTAATATGGTGGAGGTTGGGGGGAAGGTTGTATTGTCTGATGTAGTGGGAACAAAATATCCACCACATGTCTTTTTTAGAACAGCATTATTTATAATGCATTTGGTTTAATTTGGTAAATGTAGCACATGTTACATGACCTCTGTATGTCCTCATTAAAGTCCAAGTCCAGTGTTTGTGTTGGCTGTCTGTGCTCATACTGTAAACTTTCTCATCACAGAAAATCACCCATGGACACATCAGCATGGGCTGAAATTTCATTCTCCATTTATTACCATACATCCTTTTTGATTGAGAATCTAAGCCACAGGGGGAAATCTGTGGAAGAAAGGAATGTTTGAGTCACCAACATCACACATATGCTGTATTATTCCCCTGGCAAACTTCATATGTTCTGATGTTGTTTGGTATCATTATACGGTGTGATCACAATTTTACAGATTTCATCAGTGCAGAGCTGCACACAGTGAAGCCGTTTCTGACTTTCATGTCCTGCTTCTTTATTACTTGTCCTAATCTTATGACAACTGATTACAAACTTGATAACATGCTATATCTGTTTGGGTCTCAGAGACCTTAAATATAAACCATAATAAATAAATGCAGTGAATTTTTACATGGTAAGACGCTCTGACTGGTGTACACACTTTAGATGTTTCATTCATTCATTCATTCAGTTTTTTTCTGGGGTCAAACTGAATCATAAAAAATAAATTGAAAAATACTTTTAAATTCCCACCACAGTCACAAGCAACATTATTATATTTCTGACAGTCACATTTTTAAGCAATATAATATATATATAATAATGTCTTCTCTAAGTCAGAGAAAAATATAAAAATAATTTAAAGGGAAAATAAAGGTAAATAAAATACTATTATTATTATTACTTTTACTATTAGCAATAGTTATACTAATATTTTTAAGGCCCTCCGTGGTAAAACTTTTGAAATTCTTGGCCCAGTAAATTTTAGCAGCAGCCCTGCATGAATATAATGTCAATCTTAACAGAACATTAGGGTAAGCGGGTATACAGTTGGTCAGGAGAGGGCGACAAATATCTACTTATCTACTTAGTCATACCTATTCTGTGAAAGAAAAAAACCCTTCACTTGATGCTGATGACACACACACACACACACAGACACACACACACACACACTTTTCTACTGGCCTTTTTTAAATAATCAATTCCACCGTCCTCCAATGACCTTTAAAAGATGCATTTTATGTCTATAACCTAATGTTACTGTTTAGCTAGGCAGCCAAATAGATTCTAATTTTCCACTTTAATAGGCTCTAATCCACATAAAATGGAGTTCAACATCACCAAACATCAGGGCCTGGGAAAAAACTCCCGTGAATTGTGCCATCAGGCTACCGATACTCCCACTGTACAAAAAGCAGTCTTCGCTGAAGCCATATTAGGTTCCATAAATAAAAGTAAAATCTAAATGGGGCCCAACTGAATTTGTCTTCCTCTTATAAACAATCAGGCTATACTCTATACCAGTATATGTCACAGATCAGTTTTACCCCTTCACAAAACACCCCATAAAATGTTTCTTTGAGAAACACAACCAGACATATGAGCTATACAGGACACAAAACAAGTCACGCATGTTCCCAGATGATTCTCAAGGCCTGATGTCTTCAAACCCCAGTCTGTTGTTTACATCTTAGTCCTGTCTCAGGGTTTAAAGCTCTCATTCCCAAGAGAGTCTAGACAAAAAAAGCCAAACATGCGTCGACCATGTCTCCATTTTTATTCTCCACTGTGTCATTATGCTGTGTCTTTGTTTTCTCCGTCCTGTGTGCATAATAATGAGAAGAGGCTGAAGTTTCGGCCTTGTATGCAAGGCCCCCACCGATGTCAGCATCTCCATTTACATAATGATGCAGTGAGATTCAGCTCTCTCAGAGGCTTGTGAATGTATGCCATATGGTGCAGATGGGACCAGACTACAGCATGACAGGGAGGGCAGCCCGATGGAGCTCTGAAAGGCTTTTTCCCACCCTGTGCTTGACAGAGGTCACACAACAGGCTGCTCTTGTGTGCTCTTCTTTGTGACAGTCAAAGCATCACGAATCATCCCACCTGTGTTGGAATGAGCCATATAAATGATAAAATCCTATGATTTTTCATGTGTGGAAAGACAGATACAGAAATAGTGGCCAGCTCTGGCTCATCTTGCACGTCTTAAATTTTGCAACCTGAAATTTAGCCACCTGCTTTGATTACCCAAATTTATAGAAGAATTCAAGTTCAAGTTTGGTTTATTTCTAAAGCACGTTTAAGCACGGCCAAACAAAGTGCTGCACAATAAAAGAATAAGAATACACAATGAATGAGCAACAAACAAATTAAAAACATGAAAGAACCAAACACAACTACATATTAAAAGCCAAGGAGAAGAGATGAGTTTTGAGACAAGATTTGAACTCAGATAAAGTGGAAGCCGTTTTAATGTGAATTGGCAAATTATTCCAAAGAGTGGGACCAGCCACTTCAAAGGTTCTATATCCCCTGGTCTTTACGTGGGTTCTGGGGGATTTGGAGGAGCAATTTGCCCTCCGATCTTAATCCCCTCGCAGGAATTTAGGGGACTAGGGGTGGAGTAAATTTGACAAAAAAGGAGGAGCTAGATTGTTTAAAGATTTGTGGTCAAGTAGCAAGATTTTATACTCGATTCTATAGTATAGCGAATCGGCAGCCAATGCAACAATCTCAAAAGGGGAGTAACATGATGATAATTTTTTTCTGCATCCATTCAGAAATCTAGCTGCTGAATTTCGGACTATTTGTAGACTGGGGATTTGATATGCCGCAATAGAGGGAGTTGCAAGAATCCAGCCGAGACATAATAAAGGCATGAATAGCAACCTCTAAGAGAACTATCAGAAAAAAAAACTTTTTTAGAGGGATTTTAGAGAGAGAGAGAGAGAATGAAAACAGAAAAAACTAGAGCCTGCAACAGTGCTGAACTGTTTATCAAATTTCAGGCAGTTATCAAACTCCACACCCAAATTCCATACTTGGGGAGAAATTAAGGAATTGAGAGACTCAAAGTCCAGTTGATTGCTTGCCCTGGAGTCTGAGAGGCCAAAGACAATAACTTCTGTTTTATCTGTGTTCAAAAAGAGAACATTTTTGGAAAGCCATGACATCATTAAGACATGATGATAGAGTATCAACGGCACACTTGTACACTAAATTTGCACGTCATCGGCATAACAGTGGAAGGAAACCTAAAAATATGTTTCCTAAAAATAGAGCCCGGGGAAGAAGGTAGAGAGAGAAAAAAGCAGGTGCTAAAATAGAACCCTGAGGAACCCCGCAGATTAAATTGCCTAAGGACGAGATAAAGCTTTCAATTTTTACTGAAAATCTATTGATTAAAAAAAGATTTAAACCAGCTTAAGACTGCCCCAGACCCACAATGTTAATTATTTGCCTCAAAAAGTGAGGGTGTATTATATCATGGGGGCATAAAGAAGGTTTAAGTTTTGTGATAACTTCCTTT